GGAGGGAGGGAGGGAGGGAGGGAGACGCAAGAGGGAGGGTATATGGGGACATATGTATACGTATAGCTGATTCACTTTGTTATACAGCAGAAACTAACACACCCTTGTAAAGCAATTATACTCCAATAAAGAAGTTAAAAAAAGAGGAAGCAGACCGATTCAGTACCTCCCCACTGACGTGCAGGACTGCGGCCTCTGCATTCGACAGGACTTTGGTGTCGCACTGTCCAGGGGTTCACCTGAGACGAGAAGGGAAGTGACGGTCAGTCAGATGCGGGGCAGGTGACACATCTGCCTTCACCAAACAGGCGGTCCTCCTCTAAGTGTCCCACGTTCCCAAGATGCAGTGAAGACGGCACGTAAAGTAGACGAAGGCCAGACAAGCCAGAGGGAAAACCTTCCGGCCCTGGCATGTGGGAAGGGACATGTCCTCCCTCCCCGGGGACCCACCAGGCAGGGCTGTGGTGCCCAACCAGCGGGCGCAGAAGAGGAAGAGTCCTGGTCCCTTCACTGCCCTCAGCCTGACTAATCCCCAGACGGGGACGGGAGTGGCCCGAGGGACGAGGCGGCACTCAGCACACGACCCCGTTGGGTCTCCCCGTGAGCCCCGCCTGCAGAAGCGGCACCAACATGGGGGGTTCCAGGCGGGCCCCACAGAGCCCGCCACCGCCTTGGCTCTCGGGAACCGGGAGGGCACGAGGTCATCTCAAGACGTGATGTTATTTATGTGCCGTCTGGCGGCTGATGAGCATTTCTGTGTGTGGGATCTCATCTGTCACAAGGCAACGACCAGCGGGCTCAGAGGACTGAGCCCTGGGCCGCCATCCACAGGGACCAAGTCCCAGGCTCACCCGGGGGCCCCCAAAGCCGCAGGTGCCAGGCCCCCTGGCAGCACCCTGCTGTGTTCTGGAAGCCACGGGCAGGGGCCGACCCCAGCCCCAAAGGGGAAGGTGGCCCGGGTCTCCGAGGAGGCAGGAGAGGCCCCGGCCCCGCTCCTACAGGTACCTCCCCCCGAGCCCCACGTCTCAAACCAACCTGCACCTGCCCCCTCGCCCCGTCCTCCCTCTCTGCCCCCAATCCACGTCTCTGTGCCTCTTCATGGCAAATCTTCTCAAAAGAGCTGCCCGTACGTGCCTATCCTCATCTTCCACCTCCTGTTCTTTTCAAACGTTGATCAGATCAAAGTGATCCACACACCAAAAAAAAAAAAAAAAAAAGAGATTCAAAATGGGCGTGCCTATCCTCATCTTCCACCTCCTGTTCTTTTCAAACGTTGATCAGATCAAAGTGATCCACACACCAAAAAAAAAAAAAAATGAAGAGATTCAAAATGGCGGGCTCTAGCCACACCTACCCTATTTCCAGCTTGCCTGTTTCCTGAGGTGTTTACCTTCTATCTCCAAGTTACATATCCTGCTACCTCCTCGTTTTTCAAAACCCTGAGATGTCATGATATGATCCCAGCTCCCTCACGGTCGCACAGCCCCATCCATGCGGCCGCCTGCCCTCCAGGGTTTCCGTTTTGACAACTGAGTCTAACAGAGTACACAGCCCATCTTCTCGCAGTGCCCATCCATCCCCTACCTCGAGTTCATAAGAACTGCCTCCAGGGACTTCCCCGGTGGCCCAGAGGGTAAGACTCCGCACTCCCAATGTAGGGGACCCGGGTTTGATCCCTGGTTGGGGAACTACATCCTGCATGCGTGGCTCAACTAAGAAGTCCACACGGCACACCGAAGATCCCACATGCCACAACTAAGACCTGGCGCAGCCAAAACAAATAAATATTTTTTAGAAAAGGAAAAAAAAAACCAAAAAGAACTGCCTCCATCTTTTGCTGGTTTCTTATTTGGGGGCCTGTGATGAAATGTCCTGCAACCTCTGTCTTTGGGAGCATTTCCACGTGGCTGCCTCTTAGGCTCCGAGCCCACACATTTCCTGGAGGTCTCTCTCCCAGACCAGGCTGGGCCCCTCACTCTCACCGCCTCCTGTGTTGGGTTCCCCCTTTTCAGGCCCCATAACTACTTCTTTCCTGTTTCCTCCCTCATCTTAGTGGAAGACTGTTCAGGAGCTTCCAGAAGGTGCACAGGAGGGCAACTATTTTTGTGGAATTTTAGATTATTAAAGTACCCTTATTATACCCCAGTCAACCAAGGCTTCGTCCAGGGCCCGAGTCCAAAGGGCCTGGAAATTACTTCCTCCCGGAGCTGCAGGTGCTCTTCCCTCCAAGTAGCTTCTGATCCACAGAGACGCCTGCCGGTCCCCCCGGGTCTCCATCCCTCGTGTGGTTCCTGGAAGCAGTCACGGTAAATGACACTCCGAGCCAAGAGTGTTTTCAGAAACCCTAAAGGCTCTGCTGCAGGCTCTGTTCACACCGTCCCCATGTCTCCTCTGTGATGACAGCTAGTGTCACACGGCAGCCAGAGTGAGCGGCCACCGCACAGGCAGAGCTGCACGTGCTCAACAGCAGGGTCGTGCCCGCAGCCTTGCAGTGCAGACTTCGTGGGAACCACTCGGCCCAGGACGAACGACGAAAGGTGTGACCGCTTTGGACCTGATGTTGCGAAGCAACAGGAACAGCCTCGCGCGGTGAGCGTACAGATGTCAGAAGGGCCAAGGGCTGAGGGCCCCGCCTGGGCAGCGGAGGGCAGGAGTCCTGTGGCTCCACGCGGCTGATAGACGGGCGGTGGGGGCCAGTCGGCAGCCAGGCAGCGGCAGCACCTCGGCCAGAGGCGCGTTGGGCTGCGGGCGTTTGGGAAGAGGAAGCAAACGCTGCTGAACACAGTCCACGGGTCCTGTGCCAGGGGCTGCCCCGAAGGCCCTGTCTGTCAGGGCGCCCGTGTCTGCAAACACACCAGGCTCTCTGCGGCGGAAAGCTAAACTTCACTGCAGCCGAGGCTGCTCCTCTGAGGTCCAAGCTCACACACGGCCCACGGAGCCCGCGGGCGCTGCAGACTCCACAGGTCCACACTGGACGGCTAGTCTCCACCCCGAGCTGCTCTCCCTCCGGCCCTCCATCACCACGGTGCTCCTGCCAAAGCCTCGGGGTCACTCTGAGTCCCCAAGGCCACATTGCCTCCTGGTCTCCCAGAGCGTCCCCAGATCAGAGCCCTTCTCACCTTTGCTGCCACCACCTCCGTGATCTCTCGTCTGGACCCCAGGCAGGCGTGGGCATGGTCCTCCATGCTCCCACTCTGGCCACAGGGCCTGTCTCTCCCTCTGCTGAAGGATCTGTCGAAGGTCACGTTCCTCCCTGCTCAGACCCTCGCAGGCACCCCCTCTCGCACGGGTATGCCAACGGCCACCTCCACGCAGGGCCCACGCGACCTGGCCTCTGACTGCCTCTCCGTCTCCGTCTCTTCTTACCCTTCTCCTCGCTCACTAGCGGGGCTGAGGTTGCTGGTTTTGATCAGTATCTGCTCCCCTCTTCTTAGAAAGACATTTTAGCTGAGTGTAGGAAAGACCCAATACCTTAGCATCGCCTGCAGATAAGTGTGGTCACGTGACTAAGTCCTGAGCAATGACTTCCACAGAAGGAAGCGGCACGTGCGACTTCCAGTAAGTATCCTTGGAAGGCAGGGCTTTGTGCTTCTACACCTATTTCGTCTTCCCTGCTGGTAGGTGTGAGGGCTGGAGCTGGTGCAGCCATACTAGATGATGAGGAAGAGAAGCTAATCATGGCAAAACAAGATGGAAGAGGCCCGGATCCCTAACACAAGGAGAGCCATAGCAGCTCTGGAAAATCTACACAGACTTTCATGTGAGAGTGAACTAAACATCTATCTTGATGAAAACCAATGCTGTTTTGGGCTTGTAGCAGAACCTAATCCTACCTTAACTATCATCCCTACCATTCCAGCCTTCGTTCTGTTTTCAGAACTCGTCTAGCATCTTTCTGCCTCAGGATCTCTGCACTTGCCGTTTCCTGCCTGGACCGTTCTCCCTCTGGCTCTTCTAATGGCTGCCTTCTCCTCAAGGTTCAGATCTCAGCTCAGTGTCACATCCTGAGGGAGCCTGCACTGACCATCTAAGCTTAAAGCACCGCTCTATCTAAATTCTTCCCCACCCTCTTTTATTCACTTATGATCTGAAAGTATACTTATTTGACATTTCTTATCTTTTACTCTTAATATGTACGTTCCACGAGTAGGATATCTGTCTTACCATTACATCCCTTATAACTAACAGAGTGTCCAGCACTGGACAACACTCCAAAGAACGGTTCATTCTTACATAAGCAGTAACTCAAGTGAGGTTGTCACGTGTTAAAGGCCACCTGTACTGGCCAGTGAAGCTGACAACTTCAAAACATTCAAGCCACTAGAAGGCATGTGTTTGAGAGAGGAGGCCAGAGCTGTGCTCCCCCTTCATCAGCTCCATGCAACTCCCTGCATTACACACATTTATCAGATTAATTCACCTTGACCAAACGCCCCACCCACTACTTGCCGGACACCATGCAGGGCTTTCTGCCTGGTAGCGCTGCCAGGATGCCGGGGCAGGTGGGGAGAGCCCAAGGAGGCTGGAACTGGAGGGGCAGAGTACTAGAGAGTGGGGAGCTACAGAGAGAGAAGGAGCCCTAGAAACCTGAGAGGGACCCCGAGTCCTTGCTGCATAGAGAGCAGCAGCATGTACGTGGGGCAGGACTCCCAAAGAGACAAGAACCACCACTAGGAACACTGCCACCATCACGCAGGGCTGCGAAACACACCAACTGGCCAGAGTGGACACCTCGTGGACACAGCACACTCAGGAGAGGCTCAGAAAGGCCACACGTTAGTTGCAGGGCTAAACTATCCCAAGAGTAAAGGCTAAGACCTGCCCCATCAAAGTTCTAAAAGAAGCCCCAAAAGGATTAAGTTCTCCTGAAATTTAACTGCCTGCCAAAGCAAAATTCAACTTCTTAAAGAAAGACAACAAAGTCCAGACGTACAAAAATATAAAATTTATGATGTCTAGCAGACAATAAAAAATTATTGGGATGAACTGGGAGACTGGGATTGACATATATATACTATTGATACTATGTATAAGACACACAACTAATGAGAACCTACTGTATAGCACAGGGAACTCTACTCAGTGCTCTGAGGTGACCTAAATGAGAAGGAAATCCAAAAAAGAGGGGATATATGTATACGTATAGCTGATTCACTTTGCTGTACAGTACAAACTAACACAATATTGTAAAGCAACTATACTCCAATTAAAAAAAAATTTTTTAAAGGTAAACCTATAAACATTAAAAAAAAAATTATTAAGCATGTGAAGAAGCAGGAAAATGTGACCATAACCAGGAAAAAATAAGTCGATAGAAACAGACCCAAAATGACGAGGAAGATGGAATTAGAAGAAACAGACTTTAGAACAACCATTATAAATATGTTCAAGAATTCAAAGGAAAACATAAACACCATGAGGACAAAAATGGGGAAACTATAATGCCAGAAATGAAAATTTAACTGGACGGGCTCAAGAGCAGATTAGACACACTGCAGAAAAAGCTGTGTACACATGGGGACGAGACGGTAGAAACTATCAGAACTGAACCACAAGACAAGAGGATGGGGTGGTGCGGGGAAAACAAAGCTTCAGTGACCTAAACGACAACATACAGAGGCCTACAACACAGGTAACTAGAGTCCCAGGAAATGAGGGGAAGCAAGAAAAAATACTTGAAGGAATAACAGACACATTTTTTCCAGATTTGATTAAAAATATCAACCCACAGATCAAAGTAGCTCAAGAACCCCCAAGTAGGATAAACACGAAGAAAGCCATATGAAAATACCTAATAATCGACATGCTGAAAATAACAAGAGAAAATCTTAAGAGCAGCCATGCGACAATGATATGTTACATAGAGGGGAGGAATATAAGGTAAGAAATTCACTGAATTATCCAACACAAAGAAAATTAGAAGACATATATAAAGTGCTTTAAGTAAAATGAAAGCAAAGAAACCACCATCACCAAAACCAACAATTTTTAAATTTTTAAATATAATTCGTTCAATATTTTAAAAGCACATTAAAAAAATAAATAAAAATAAAAAAATAAAAACACATTAAAGTTCACCTATTACTTACCAGTAGAACACTCGGGAATTTTAAATTGACCTGCAGCGGTGGGCATAACCTTCGCCTTGGAATTCAGACAGGAATCGTGCCTTCTCGTACTCCCAGTCTTATTCATCTGAGAAGACTGTGACAAACTGAGATGAGAGTTCAGCCCAGGGCCTCCCTGTCCTGGACTCTGGGGTTGGGTGAGAGCTGCTCTGGTGGGCGCCCTGGGCTGCTCCGCTGTCGACTCAGCAACTCCGGGCCTCTGGCTCTGCCTGCAGGACATGCCTGCAGGGCCCGGCTGCAGACACAGCCGTGGCAGGACAAGTCCCGTTCTGCCCGACTGGCTGGTGTTT